AATTGGCGGTACCTCCGAATTTGGGGAAAGGCAGCATGCAAATAGAGAGTGAGAGAGGCAGAGGGGTTTGGTAGAGGTGTAAAAGACCTATTTACGCCTCACCTTTCCTTAAGAGACAAATCAGCCCTCATCAACACCTTTCTTCTAATAAAGGTTTAGAGATTCTCTTCCACATGGGGAACTGCTTTTATCCTATATATTTAATTTGCATCCACGTGTATTACATATATTTGATAATATAAATCATCAAACGGATGCAACTATAAAAAAAAAGATTTGTATTCTTATTTTAATTTTTTATCTAAATTACTGATTTGGCCAATCCAAATTGGCTGATCCAAGCTTTAACCTCGGCATCTCTAGAAAATCGGCTTGGGTCGGTCGATCAATAGAGTTTCTATTGGCACTCCGTCCTAGTGAACCGGTGAAAAAAAAAATTAAGGAACAAAAAAATTGAAAAGGAACCTGTTAGAACTAGTTGGTTATGACGGAACCTAACATAACTGGTTAGTTTTGCCGAACATCAAGCTAAAAACCAGTTGGTTCTCAAAAAAAACCGGCCCGTTCTTGATATTTACACATAACTGGACCCGGATATTTACACAGGACTGGAGCCGCCTTGACGATTCTTTGTCCGTACCAGGTTCCGATCGAGTTCGTCTATTTTTAAAACCTTGTTTTGATTTTTAATCATTCCAGTGGAAAGCTGATTCCCCCCCCCCCGCCAAACTACTTTGAAATACTTCGTGTGGTATACCCAACAAGAAAGGCAACTTTCGTCCCTTAGATCCAAAAAACTCCGACGAAGATCACAAGGAGGGCATTTTCGTCGTTTGAGAGCGGGAACGGGTGGAATGGTCATTAGGGCAAGAGGGAGGGACAGTTTGGGCACTTAAAGAGCGGTCGCGGTCAGGTTTAGGTGCGGTGAATGGCGTCACGGGAAACTTGGGTTTTGAACACCCAAATTTATTCTATGGCAGTCGCAGCCTTTTGTCGCCATCCTACTTATTAATAAGTAACGCTTACTTGTTTCTTCTAGAGAGAGAGAGAGAGAGAGAAGTTAGAGAGAGAGAGAGAGGTAGGTTAGAGAGT